CGCAGCATTACACGTAAGACACGATTCCCGCAGCATTACACGTAAGACGCGATTCCCGCAGCATTACACGTAAGACGCGATTCCCGCAGCATTACACGTAAGACGCGATTCCCGCAGCATTACACGTAAGACGCGATTCCCGCAGCATTACACGTAAGACGCGATTCCCGCAGCATTACACGTAAGACGCGATTCCCGCAGCATTATATGAAGGAACCATTCGTTTCCAGAGTGTTACACACAAGAAAACGCCCTGAAAGAACTGTTTCCACAACGTTACACGTTAGAAATGTAATTCACAGCAATACACGTAGCCTAGTAGATAAGAAATGTAAATTTCCATAGAAATACAAACAAGCCAATTTACACAAAATCAAAAGATACAATAATAATTTCCACAACGTTACACGTAACAAACGCTCATTTCCACAGCGTTACATGTAAGAAATGTTCATTTCTACCTCAATGCACGTTCAAGAAATATAAATTTCCACATTACATGTAACAGATTCTAGAAAAGGAAAGCTCACTTACAACATTACACGTAAGAAAGTCATTTCCACAGCATTACACAGAAGAAAAACTTATTTCCACACCGTTACACTTAAGAAATACACATTTCCACAACATTACACGTAAGGCCTATAATTTCCGCAACATTACAGGTATTATACGATTCACAACATTACACATAAGAAATACTGATTTAAACAGCATCACATGCAAGAAACGCTTATTTTCTCAAAGTTACATGTCAGAAAAATTTACTTCCACAACATTATGCAAAAAAACTCACATTACCACACACTTAATTGATTGTTGAAGTTAACATGTTATTCATACGTGTTTAGGGTAAATTTGAGGTTACTAAGTTATACGTTGTAACAAATTTATCCCCTAAAAGTGAGGTAAATATGGCTAAACCTCTCTATTGGAGAAGAAAAATTAATAAAATATGAATTTTTAAAATTCTAAAATACAAATGTAAGTGTGATTGAGATTTACTCATTAAAAACATTAAAATTGAGATTTTAATGATTCAGTAACCCTCAGAGAATCACAAAGTAATTACTGTCACATCTATCTATCTATCTCTGTGGCTTAAAGGGGTCATATGATGCGATTTCATTTTTTCCTTTCTCTTTGGAGTGTTACAAGCTCTTGGTGCATAAAGATCTGTAAAGTTGCAAAGACTAAAGTCTCAAATCCAAAGAGATATTCTTTATAAAAGTCAAGAGTCAGCCACACCTACCTAAAACGGCTCGTTCTAACACGCCCACACATATCTACCTCACTATGTGGGAAGATTTGCATAACGCCGCCCAAATGTTCACGCAAAGAAAGAAGGCATAACTTTTATTTTCGCTGTAGTATTGTTGCTGCTACCACCATGTCCTGAAGACGCTGTGTGTTTCGTTGTGAAAGCGAAACTACTTTGTTTGGCCTTCCAAAAGAGGACACAACTAGAAATCAGTGGTTCAACACTGTTCCGGAACAGTTCAACCCAAATATTCAGATGTGTGCAGCACATTTTGCGGAGGACGAGGACTGTTTCCTGTGAGAGTAGCCTACAATGCCGGTGTCTGTTTCTATAAAGTGGGGCAGTTCCAACTTTGCAAGGACAGTCTGGTGCTTCTGACTCACAGTCTGTAAGTACGTTTACATATTTAAATAATTTGCCACTGATGATTCAAACGTGAGTTTTGAGCAGTGTAGAGTAGCGCTCGTTGTTTGTCGTTTCTCCAATCACAAATGCAAACATGGTTTTATGTTTACGCAGCACAATACACAATGTAACGCATTAAAAAGACAGTATAAGTCATTATAATCAGTAATTATGTCCCCACTGGATGCAACAAATGCCTCATTATAATGGGTTTTAATGTTTTTGTCTCATCGCTCCTGGCCGAACAGGGCATCAAAGTATGTTAAGGTGCGTAACATTTCCGTCACACACTTGAGGAATTCGGCCAATCACAACGCACTGGATAGCTGGCCAATCAGAGCACACCTCGCTTTTCAGAACGATGAGCTTTGTAAAAATCGACACGTTTCAGAAAGGCGGGGCATAGAGGAGCAAAAATAATGTACAGTATGAGGAAAATAATGTGTTTTTTGAACCTTAAACCACATAAACATTTCATTACACCAAATACACAAAATAATGTTATTTTTAGCAACATCATATGACCCCTTTAAATCTTGATCTTTCCCTGTGAAGTGAATATGGGTCACAGCAGCCCCTCATTTCTCTGTATCTCTGTCTGTGTCTCTAGGGAGTGTGTGTAAGGTAATAGGCAGCAGGGAAGATCTCAGCTGTGTGTGTGTGTGTCTGGGGCTGGGCATGCTCAGATCAGCTGCTGAGAGTGCATCAGATCGCCTGAATCACTGACACACACACACACCCTAATACACTCTAACCTCTACATATTGTGTAACACATGCTGCTAAACTTGCAGTAAACCAGAGCGTGTGTGTGTTTACATCAGCTGTAATTGACAGTGGAGAATGAAATCTTGCTGCATTCCTCTAGAATAATGAAATGTCATCAGTGTTATTAATTTGCCAAGTGACCTTTATCCCCTTTTCAGTAAAGTCAACAGCTATAAGTAGAAGAAAGGCTCCAGTATGCCAATAATTTTTGTTTTATTCCAATATTTTTTCAATCCTTAGTGCCGACTGATAACTCTCCTACCCAAACATTCACTTTTTCATCAGACAATGTGAAAACCTAGGCCTAGTTAGTGTATTATGGCCAGTAACCGATATGATGGCTGATATTGTAAATGTATTGTGTGTGTGTGTGTGTGTGTGTGTGTGTGTATATAGTGCATCCAAAATTGTCCAGTCGTCTTATCCTCTCAATTAACACAGATTATTAAAAGCTCGACCTGTAGAGATTTCGCTCGTTATGATCTTCTCTGGTTAATTGACAGTTGTGATTTAATTAGGTTCAGAGTGTGAATGCTAAACGACCTGAACTTATGTAATGTAACATAACTGCAGTCGAGCTGTAATCATGTACAAATCTGTTGTCGTGGAAACAGGTGATATTTATTATCAGACTGCAGGGTTGTGATTTAACCGTACATGATGTTCTGTAGCAGAACCGACGGTTTAATGAAGCCAAACGGACCCCACAGATGCTAAATAATTCATCTGCATCTGTAGAGCAGGACTGCGTTCCTTCGAGCAGCACGGTTTGTTTGTAGCCTGTGTGTTTGTGGACTGTATAAACACATCGCTTTCTGTAGATAGATTATATTGATCAGTTTAGCCGACTGTGAGGATATTATATCATATTCTGTCACTGATACTGTGTGTTGTACGAATGAGGACAGTTCAGTTGAGGTCACTGAAAATATATTTACTTAGAATCATTTTCTGTCACAACACACGTTAAATTATATGGTAGAAACCACACATTACAGTATTGCAGAGAAATAACACGTTAATGTTTTCAGATCATCGACATCACATTGTTTATATTGTATACACAGTCAGTCGTGTAGTAGTGCGGAGCTGGCGGTATTTTAATATCCAGAGGAGATTTCTTTACAGAAAAAGTGTCTGACTAATTATCCCACACACGGCAACCCAAATATTGATTTACGTTGAAATTGTACAATCTTACGTGTTTAGTCTCTTTCTTTAGTGGGAAAAAATAGTCCATTACACTCAGAGCTGAGTAGATTACTTACCAATTGTAGTTCGTTACTAATTCCAAATTAGGGTACATGACAGAAATTGTGGTTAGTAACGTAATCCATTACATTACACATTTTTGGTAATATAATCAGACTACTTTTTGATTAGGCCTACTTTTAGATTACTTTTGACCTAACTCGTTTATCACATTGATTTAAATAGCATAATCTTGTACCATATTGATGTAAACAAAAAGATATATTCCATTTGTTGTTATTGACAACATAAAGCGCATCAAGGTTTCCCAAACTGGGGTTTGTAAAGGAACTGCAGGGGGTTCGTGAGTTTAATGAAAAGCAAATAATTAACGAAATCATAAAAATGTCAAATGAAAATAAATCGTTTGAAAATAAATTAATGGATAATTTGTGTAAATAATATGTAATCATGTGATCTATAAAAATTTAACTGTAGTGTGATTCTGATTATTTTCAAATGTAATTGAATCTAATTACAACTACTTAATTTTTGGAATCTGATTATGTAATCCATGATTACATGTAATCAGTTACTACCCAGCTCTGATTACACTGTACAAAATCATCTGAGGGAAATTTCACTCACAATTCAGATGCAATGGTGCCAATTAAACGAAAGGATCCGCTCAAAATACTATAGGCCTAGGTTTGTGCTGCGATTTTCAAAGTTTTTTTTTTATTTCATATAAATGCTGTTTTCTCCTCTTTTTTACTTAAAATGTAGTATTTTTTAACGTTTTGACACTTTTTGCTCCAATCCTCTATCAATAACTCATCGCCGCATACTCGTTAGTTAAAATGCGCAAAACACTTGAAATCGTCACGAATTGCAATCCAAACAAGTCAAGACCAGGAAGAAGCTAATGAGCCAATACTCCAAACTCAATAAATGTACAGCGCATACATTTTAATTAGACATTTTCTGTCGATACTTCCTAAAATACATTTATAAATGAGCTTTGAGCATTCTGGTATTGCATTATGTACAATTGTGTCTTCTAGAAGATGTCTGGGCTGAGAGTTTGGACACTAAAGGAAGCAGCAGCTGTGTGACGATTCACAGTCAGTTCTACTTCACTAACACCACCAACTCCTTTAACATGCTGCAGGATTGTGGGAACTGCTCCAGGTGTGTGTGTGTGTGTGTGTGTGTGTGTGTGTGTGTGTATGGAAAAAGTCATAAGTGCATTTTAATACACACTTTTCCCAACACAAACTCTCTTTCTGTCAGATTGTTCCACGCCAAGCGTATAGAAAACACAAACCTATTGTTTGTGGTGGCAGAGACGCTGCCCTGCAGCTCCTGCGAGATCGAGAAACTCCTACCTGTCAGAACAAAGTGTATCCTTCCTTCCCATAATCCTCTGCTCACAGAGCGACACTAACAGATACTAATCAGCTGTCATCTGTGTTTGAATGATGGACAGATGACAGACTGAGCTTGTGGCATTTCCTTAATTTTCTTCTTCAGCTCAAGAAGAGAATCCGTGTGAGGTGTTAAACTCCGCCCGCTATCGGAAAGGACCTGACAAATGTTTCGACTACAACTCAGAGGTGAAGCGCTGTCTGTTTCTCTGGTCAAACACAGTTGTTGTTTTTTTTAAGATTTATTTTTGGCATTTTGCCTTTATTAAGATAGTGTAGAGTAGACAGGAAGCGAAGTGGGAGAGAGATTGGGGGGTGGGATCAGGAAAGGTCCTCAAGCTGGGATTCGAACTCGGGACGCCTGCAATGCAATGGCGTTATATTGTTGGTGAACTGCCCACTAGGCTATCAGCTTATCATACAACCATCCAGAACACTTGAGCAATCACATTGCAACATTCTGGCAATCTCCCAGAACACCCTAGCAGCCACATGGTCAAATAGCTGAAACCCTCAAGCAGTCACATAGTAATGTCGTGCTGAAACACATAGCGTCCAGGCGATTACTTAGAAAACTCAGTGAATCGCATAGTAATGTCCTGGCAACTACCCAGAACACCCTAGCAACCGAATAGCAAATTTCTGGCAACCACCCAGAGCTCCTGTTAAAGGGTTAGTTCAACAGTGCACAATCACACGAATAACATAACAATAAACGGTTAGTTCACCCAAAAATTAAAATACTGTCATTAATTACTCACCCTCATGTCGTTCCAAACTCGTAAGACCTCCGTTCATCTTCAGAACACTAATTAAGATATTTTTGATGCATTCTGACAGCTCTCTGACCCTCCCATAGACAGCAGGTCCTTACATGATCAACGTCCAGAAATGTAGCAAGGAGATCGGTAAAATAATCCATGTGACATCAGGGGTTCAACCATAATATTACGAAGCTACGAGAAAAATAATAACGATTTTATTCAAAAATTTGTCTCCTCCGCGTCACCCTAGTGCCATTTTGGAGAGTATCCACTGAACGCAAACAGCGTATGTTGTTCTGTGTCAGCCACACCACACGGATACGATGTTTTCGTTCAAATCAAAGCACAAACAACGTAGAAAAAGTATCCGCGTATCAAAACACCCTAGAAACCACATAGCAACCACCAAGAACATTGTAGCAACCCCATAGTGATTCCCTAAGCAACTACCAAAAACTCTTAAGCATCCAAAACACCCTAGCAACTGCATGGAGACATCCTAGCAAATACCAAGAACACTTTAACAACCGCATAGCAACATCCTGGCAACCACCTAAAAGACACATAGCAACTGCATAGTGATGCCAAGCAAAAGCCAAGAATTCACAAGCAACCACATCTGTGTAACCACCCAAAACACCCTAGCCACTTCATGCAAACATCCTAGCAACTACCAAAAACATTTAAACAACCACGTCCTGGCAACCACCTAAAACAACCTAGCAAGAGCATAGTGATGTCCTAAGCAACCACCAAGAACTCCCAAGGAACCACATCTGGGAAACCAACCTAAACACCCTAATAACTTAATGCAGACATCCTAACAACCACCAAGAACACTCAAACAACCACATAGTGACATCCTGGCAACCACCTAGAACACCCTAACAACCCCATAGTAATGCCCTAAACAACTACCAAGAAAACTCAAAGAACGACATCTGGTTCCACCCAAAACACCCTAGAAATTGCGTATGAATGACCTGTCAGCTACCTAAAATAACCTAGAAACTGCATGGCAACATCCTGGCAACCACCTAGAACACCCTAGTAACCGCATAGTGACTCCCTAATGGTGGTCACACACCGGACAAGAAGCGTACACTCATATAAAACAATGTGTTTGAATTTTAAAGATGTGGCGCAACACGGTGCTGCGCTTCTCTTCCGGTGTGTGACCGTTTTAAGCAACTGTCAAGAACTCTCAACAATCACATAGCAACACCCAAATAGCAATTAGAACACCTTAAAACTGCATAGCAACACCCTAGCAACCAGCGTCAAACAACTTGCTTTGCAGATGGTGAGTCTGTGGTCAACGTTAACCTAAACGTTCTCTGTTTGTCTGTGTTTCTGGCAGGAGAACGCGTCAGAGTGTGGCAGCGCTCACTCTTTACACTGTCCGATGCGAGTTCTGCTCTGGATTCAGTTATTGTGGCTTTACCTCATTCTACGATCGTAATCCAAGTCCCACTGCCTTCCTCTCCTGAAATTCTCCTGGTTTTCCAGCTCTCTGTTTCATCGTGAGGTGCATTCCAGCTGTGTGCCGTTACAGCAGAGCATAATGGGGAAACGTGGAACATTGTGCAGATCCAAAAAAACCTGTCTTAAATCATTTCACCTTTATTTCAGAAAACGTACAAAAAAAAACATACAGTCTTTCTGCTGCCGTAAAGTATTTTTGCTAGCCAAAAACAGGAAAGAACCTGGTTTGTTTCGAAATACTGAAACGCTACTCACGTTTTGACTGTTATTATCACAATCTCGCATTGTGTGTTTATTTGAGTCTTGCTTCGTTCTCAATTTAGTGCCAAACCCTGACATACATGGATGCTCAAATGCTGGGGACGCGCAGCTTTCATTGAAATATAGTTTTTTTTTTAAGCTTCCTTGCCAAGAGAGAATGCAGTATTAATGCAAACTGCTTCGTTTAGAAAAGAAGATTTAGATTTTGTTTCGTGTTCATTTAGAGCCTTTGTCGAATGTTTTAAGGGCATATATTGTCTAAAAACTGCTGCCTGGTTTGTTACCCAACAGTGCCTTGGCGCACTTGTCCGAATGGCCCAACAATAGCACTGGACGTGGATTCGACTGACCCTGAATAAATGCTTGAGAAAGACACGGTATTGAATGTTTACAATATACAGTATGAGGGTGAATGTCTCGAAACCTGGCAAAAGTTCATATTTCACCCCAAAATCAAAAGATATGAATAGGAAGTGGCACATAAAGAAAATGAAGCACATTTTTAGGATCATTAAGATTTTAAAAGCACATTTTCCCTACAAATTTCATTACCATAATGTGAAAAAAAAAAACTTTTTTCTAATTATTGTAATGTGGGAATAAAAATATTTTTACAATATGGTAGCATTTGTTATACTGCCTAAATTTATGATTATTCAAATAGTAAAAAAACATTAAAATAATGTCACAATGCAAAAAATATGGGCAATGTTCCTACAAATACCCTTTTCGTGAGTTTTTGGGTATTTTTCTGTTGATTTTGGGGTGTTTCTCGTGATACGTTTTTTGACGTTCAGTATGGGTTTATTATGCATATTCTACTAATTCTGTCACTCAAATGATTTTAACTTTTTTCTGATGTAAATAGGGTTATTCCACACTGACTTGATCTAGTTCAGTTTTAGTTGTTTTAATGAAATGGAATGCAAGCCGATGTCCCGCTACATGCTGGGAAAAATGATAACCGCTATTAAACTTCATGAGTTTAGGACATTTACTAGAAGGACAGTTGACCCTTTGAGCCACTGAAGGGACAAACTTTATCTTCTTGATGAGTCCGTAGATGTTATCCAAGGATCGATATGTATTTATTTTGATTTAATTCAAAAGACACGTGTGTATATTGCTTGCGATATGTATCAGGTGTGAATTTTGAGACGCTTTCATGCTTTTATTGAAATGGTTTGGATTTTATCGCAGATGTTTTATTGCTTTTCAGTAATTATAACATTTTAAAGGTCCATTTAGACAAAAAAATGTATTACTTGGTGGTATTTCATCTTTTAACGTGGCCACACTTCCAAAACAATTGAACCTCCAAATGAATGGGTCGAGATTCTTCTCAATTGAACTGAAAGGGTTTGCTTGACGTATTTTGTATCGTAATGGCTTGAGCAATACTTTGAATTATGTCAACTACGCTGAAATGCAAGTGAGCGCTACTGAATTAGTGTAAAGAGAGCATGAAATCAGTATTGAGCCGCTTTCTTTGGATGACTTTGATTCAGGCTTATCTTTGAATATCGGCTTAATGTTTGTATGTGAGCTATGAGCGTTCTAACAGTATTATTTCTTCTAAAATGGTTATTTTATCAAGCTCCTATGTTTATGTTCAGTTATTTTACAAACCCAATTCCATAAAAGTTGGGACACTGTACAAATTGTTAGTAAAAAAGGAATGGAATAATTTACAAATCTCATAAACTTATATTTTATTCACAATAGAATATAGATAACATATCAAATGTTGAAAGTGAGACATTTTGAAATGTCATGCCAAATATTCGCTCATTTTGGATTTCATGACCGCTACACATTCCAAAAAAGTTGGGACAGGTAGCAATAAGAGGCCGGAAAAGTTAAATGTACATATAAGGAACAGCTGGAGGACCAATTTGCAACTTATTAGGTCAATTGGCAACATGATTGGGTATAAAAAGAGCCTCTCAGAGTGGCAGTGTCTCTCAGAAGTCAAGATGGGCAGAGGATCACCAATTCCCCCAATGCTGCGGCGAAAAATAGTGGAGCAATATCAGAAAGGAGTTTCTCAGAGAAAAATTGCAAAGAGTTTGAAGTTATCATCTACAGTGCATAATATCATCCAAAGATTCAGAGAATCTGGAACAATCTCTGTGCGTAAGGGTCAAGGCCGGAAAACCATACTGGATGCCCGTGATCTTCGGGCCCTTAGACGGCACTGCATCACATACAGGAATGCTACTGTAATGGAAATCACAACATGGGCTCAGGAATACTTCCAGAAAACATTGTCGGTGAACACAATCCACCGTGCCATTCGCCGTTGCCGGCTAAAACTCTATAGGTCAAAAAAGAAGCCATATCTAAACATGATCCAGAAGCGCAGGTGTTTTCTCTGGGCCAAGGCTCATTTAAAATGGACTGTGGCAAAGTGGAAAACTGTTCTGTGGTCAGACGAATCAAAATTTTAAGTTCTTTTTGGAAAACTGGGACGCCATGTCATCCGGACTAAAGAGGACAAGGACAACCCAAGTTGTTATCAGCGCTCCGTTCAGAAGCCTGCATCTCTGATGGTATGGGGTTGCATGAGTGCGTGTGGCATGGGCAGCTTACACATCTGGAAAGGCACCATCAATGCTGAAAGGTATATCCAAGTTC